TTTATCTCTGTTTTTATGATATTTTTTTCATATTTTTTTCCAGTTGTTTGACATTTTTTTATTTTATGTTTTATCATGGTTAGATTTGACAACGCCACGATTGATCAAGATTATTTTTATTTGTAATCCAGTTGATTTTCCTTGCTATAGACCCTCGAATTAAATTTGGATACACGATTTTACGTTCGTAGATAGTTTCTCACGACGCTCGACTCTGATTTGTAGTTCTCGGTGGTCTTTCAATAGCTTAATATCTTCTTATGGTTCGTTCACCGATACAGTTAAATTTACTTGTATCTATTTTTATTCTAGTCTTTTGATTAAATTTTTAACATTTTTCATGTATGTCCTTATATGATCTAAAGTTATTAATTTCAATGTTATAGGAAAATATTCAAACTATGTATTTAACTTACGATGATATATGTAAACTCTTATTATAATTCTAGATATTTAATTTTAATAATACTAACAGCTTTTATTCAAAAAATAATAATAATACTTTTATTTCTTTATTTGTTACACGTTGCGAGTACGAGGCTATTGGTTGTTAACTGCTCGCGATTAGAGCTGGGTATATGATCTAAGGCCCGCGGGCTACCCGTTTAACCCGCGATCCGTGCGGGCTTCGGGCCTGAAAAATTGAAGATCGTTTAAATTACGGGCTTTTTAGCCCAGACTGTTAAACCCGCGGGTTTAATGGGTATAACCGCGGGCTACCCGCGAAACCCGCTAAAGCCCGCTTAATTTAAAATTCATAAAATTTTAGAGAAAATAAACTTAAAGAATTTTATAGAAAAAGAAAATAAATTACCTATAAATATGATGTTAATTATAACTATTGTAGTTCTTAAATTTATTATGGCGTTTGTCATAATTTTACCGCTACTTGATATTTTTTTCATTTAAATATACATCATTATCATTTTGATATTTAAATATTTTTTTATTTAATTTTGACCTTTATTTTTTTTTCATGAAGTATGTTATTTATTTTTTTCTTTAATTATAAAAAGTCACGTGATATTCTAATAATATATCGCATGACACGTAATATTTAGATTAAAAATAAGAAAAAAGTTCAACTTTTAAAGACTTTTACAAAATAAATATATTTTAACAAATTAATGACTTATATTTTATCAATTTTAGTATAATTGTATCTTTCAAAACAACTCTTATACTGTAAGTATTTTATTTTATATTTTCATATTATGTTTTAGTCTTTCTCTAAAGTATTCATAAAATACAATTATTAGGACCACTTGACAACTTTCTTGTTAGATTTGTATAATGTTTGACTTTGTTGAATTTTTATGTTTGAATTTATGCTTTCAGACACTTCTGTGTCTTCATATTATAGCCTTGAATAATCGTGTTTTATAAAAATATAATGTGGTTATTGTCTTATTTGTTTTTTAATTTGGTTAAATAAGTGAATATTATTTTTTTAATTTGAGTTTAAGTAATTATATAATCATTTCCGGCTATTTAAAATAAAATTTAAATATTATTTATTATTTTAACGGTGCTACTTTCCTTTTCAAGTTGCTCGATCATTTTTAAAGGTGTAGTAAGTTAAAACATTATTTTTTATTGCATTTAAAGCATTTAAAATTATTTTTATTTAACGGGCCGCGGATAAGCCCGTTTAGCCCGCAGGTTAAATGGATGGGCCGCGAGCCTTAAAATTCAAAACCGTTTATAAATACGGACTTTTTAGCTCTCTCCGTTTAAACCTGTACTGTCAAAATCCGCGGACTAAACGGACAGGTAACCCATATATCTACCTCTACTCGCGATGTTTGATCTTGGTGAAGGGGGCATACGTTAATACCACGTTGCACTCAAAAGTATAGCGCGTGGACGACACACGAATGGTTTCGATTTGGCAAAAATGTCTATGAATTGGATAGGGTCATTATAGTAAAGTTTAGGGTGAAGTACACAAATGGTCATCTAACTATAGGATATTATTTTTTTGAGTCTGTCAACTATTAAAGGTTATAAAATTATAACCTAAATATAGGGAATTGCTTTGTTAAGACCCTAAAGTTAAAAGTTATAAAATGATCACTTGACTATTCATTATGATTTAAACTCATCTTTTTCTGTTAAAAAATTAATGGCAGTCTTAGTTAAACATTAACATATAAACTGAGATATGATAAAACATAATATCATAATCTCAAATAATTATCATATCTCAGATAATATGTTAACGCCAAGCTCAGACAACTATTAATTTTTTAACGAAAAAGGACGAGTTTAGAATATAATGAATAGTCAGGTGACCATTTTATAATTTTTAATAGTTGAAGAACTCAACAAAGTAACTCTAGTCGGAGGATTATTTTGTAATTTTTAATAGTGAGGGGACTCAACAAAATAATATCATAAAGTCGAGGGACCATTTGTGTACTTTACTCTAAAATTTATATATTTCATCATTTATTAAATCGTTCCAACTTAGAATATTGAAATTAAATTTATAAAATATTATTGTCCTTAAGAGCTCTTGAGTTCAAGCATGCCTACAAGACTGTATACGTTATTAATATATTAATTTTTTTTAAACAAATACTATTAAAAAATTGTATCAACACACATATTTATAAATGGTTAATCAAAGCTCATTTTTAACTTGTTCATATGAATTTTAATTTTTCAAAGAAATATTTATATTATTTTAATTTAATATTTAATAATTATATATATAATTACTTTATACTATTTTATAATTAAATAACTTAATATATTTTTAATACTTACACTATAAGAAATAAATTCTAAAACGTTTCAATTATGTACTTTTTTAGTGTTCACTAAAATGAAATCACAAAAATTGATATTGACACGATGTTAAATGCATTCTTTTATGATAATGTTTTAATGATTAATAAGGTTTATGATATGATGTATTGATAATTTAATGTACGATTATTATGCTTGATTTTATCTCACTAATCTTGAAATTTTGTACGTGTGTTATTAGTTGATAAAATTGGACCGAGGAGCCAAGTCATGCAAGACACCACGAATACGACCTTTGTGAAGTTTATTTAAAATAGTTCATTTAGAAATGATATGTATGTACTATACATATGGTTAAAGGAATTGTTGTTATCTCTAGAGGTTTTGGATTCGAGCAGCTGCATCTGCAAGATGTTTACGCGTTGTCAATGATTAAGAAATATTCAAAACAGATACTATCTTATAATCATCTCAGATTATTTTAAAAAAATAAAAGAATAATATGCATGTACTATGCCAGATGGTTAGATTTTGATACTCTTGTAAATATTATGATGGTTTGGTAACATGAAGGTCATACAGGAATAATCTCAAGTGATGGTATGCATGATATGGAATTAGAATTGAGAATGGTTATTCTAGGTGGCTGCATGTTGGATAAGATAAAGATGCTAAGAACAGGTTAAATAAACCTATGAATATGATATAAATGTGTTCTAGTGTTTATTTTGTATATTGGTGCTTAATGTCATATTAGAGCCTAAACCAGTCCATAATTCCTTTTTTGTCCATTTAAGACTTAGGTGATTAAATCTTCATAGAGGTATTATATTGAAATGCAAAAGGAACTCTATATAGAATTATACGGGATATCGGTGTTGAAACGAGTTTTAGGTCCTTATGGACCAGTTGGATAGTTCTCTATCCATGCAAAATTTACTAAAATTGTAGTTTTTGTTGTACACTGTAGGGTATTGATACATATATGGTAATTTTGATATCGTCCTATAAATGTTTAATTGGGTATTGATACCTTAAGAGTAGTATTGAGGCCTAATATTTTATTCATATTTTTCTAAATTTCTAAGCTCAGAATGGTATCAACATCTTAGGATAGACAACGATACACAATTATTAGAGTTATTTTTTTATAACATCGAACCTTATCTTGGTTCAATACCAACAATCCGATATCGATACCCATGAGTCTTGTAAGTCGGATTCTATTTCTTGTTGGACAAGTTTCTTTGCTAAAACCGAGCATAGAGCTCTTTCATTCTTCTTTTAACATTAATATTACTATTATTATTATTTTGAATACTTTGAGTAAATATAATGTACTATTTGTTTAAAATTTTCTTAACTTATTGACAGTGGACATACACCCCACAGGCGCAGCTGCTCTAACTCAAAACTTCTAAGGAGAACACCATTAGTATTATTTTATGTATAGAGATAGCACATGGAGAAGGTATATTGTATATTCAAGTTTTCTTTTGGAGTATTCGTAAAGAGTAATATTCTCGTAACAATATACGAATATGTCTGGAGTCTAGACATAGATGGTCCTAAAGCCTCAATTGATAGCAATAAAAATTTCAAATGTTATCTATTCTGTTATGGTCCTAAAGTCTCAATTGATAGCAATTGGAACTAAAAAAAAAAGAACAAAGGCCCATAATATAATGACCCGTTACAACAAATCTCATCTTCATCACCAAGAGCCATTGGCGCCTAATAAGAACAATCAATCAACCAACCTACAACATCAAACAATTCATTACTGTTCGATCGAAAAAGGATCAGATAAAATTCTAGCTCTAGCTACTTCAACTCTTTGAAACACCAATCCATACCTTTAGGCTTTACCTAATTCCGAACAAAATGGAAGGTTCATTCTGTTTTGCAGGTCACTATGTGCAAGTATAAGCCACTAAGGATCCACGTGTTAGATGTACATACAAACACCCATGTTTCAAGGGGAAAAACTCAACCTCGTGATGCTCCTTCATGTGGAGAACACTCACATGATCCAGTGAGAATAAGTATCACAGGTACGTCCCCACTGGTCAGTTAGCTGTTACTGTTGGGGACGCTGGCAGGAGGTTTGTCATAAAGGCAGATTACTTGAACAAACCGATTCCCCGTCACCTGCTAGATCAATTGTACAAATATCATGGTACCAATACAGATGGCCCACTGGCAATACCTTGTAACGGGTGTTAAAAGCAAAGACCTCGGTTAAGCTCATGGAGGGCATGAATTCATTTTTTCATGATTCCATGTAACAAAGGTGGTAGTGGCGAAACAGCCACAAAGATTGGGTCCAACACTTGAAGCAGGTGCCAAATCTCTACAAATTGTTATCGACACTTATTCCTGTCCAATTTATGATGCAAAAAAAGTTATATTCCGGCTGCAGAATGATAAATTATTAGTTATTGAGCTATTTATGACAAAACAAGTAATGTTATTCGAACTTTATGCAATATATGCTTTATTCATGTTCACGTTGAGAAAAACCCTGAAGCATAAGCATACACAGAGTTGCCCAGCGCAGCAGAAGTATAAAATAGAAAAATGATACAGAAAAGAAAGGGAAAACGACCTCTACAGCCTTAGATTTGAGATGTTTCTTTTTCCAAAGAAGAAAAAGACAAGAAGAAAACCACTCAATGACCTAAAAAACGAGAGAATAAATAACATAAAGAACAGAGTATGAAATCATCCTTGCCTAAAAGGCTTTGTATTTTAGAGGTATTAGGATCAATTCTACATAATTTTTGCACTGGAGCAATTAATTCAATGTTTCCTAGGGGGAAAAAGTTAATTTCCAGATTAATTTTTGTATGCGAATGCAACAGGTAATAACAAAAGGAGATTGTGTGCCTTGATGCACCGCAGTGCTAGAGTTGGTAAATGCTTCCATCTCATATTTATAAGCGTTGTATATCAGTTATGAATTATTTTCTTAAAGACTACTTGCCTCAATAAATGGAAATCCAGTAGATCTCAAGCATTGGAAACAACAGTAGTTGATAAAGAATGGAAAGCTTCTTTTGCAGCCTTCTGTCGTGACTCTAGAATCTTTGCATCGGCAAAGAGCTCCCTCAGAGCCATTTCAAGCTCTAGTTTACCTGACACCTTCAGACCAATTACAATAAAATCTTTAGCGTTTGACACACAAAATATACATTGCTACATGAACATCTTGGATAATTTTACCTAAAGGTCCAAGAAGAACATGTTGCCAAAAAGATGACAATATTTGAATGATTTTTTTTAGGTTCTTTTAAAAAAAATCTTTTCAAATTAAGCTGATTTGGGGCAAATGACTCTAAAGAGGTGAGAAAACTCCAATATTATCATCTGCCCACCCAGATTGCGCTAACACCATTTACTCATAAACATCTGTTAGAAACAACCTCCAAAAAAGTACTTGGAATCTTAGAAGATACAAAGAAATCAGATTTAATAAACACAAGAAGATATAGCACTAGATGGACTGAAACAAAGATTAACCAAGTAGGGACTACATAACAGGATGGTGATAACCGCACCATTCCACCTCAAAGGAGGTCCTGAGTTTAAATGCCCCTTTTTACAACAAAACATTTTAAAAAAAAGGATTAATCAAGCAGAACTACATAAAGAAACACATTTTTCTTTTATACATGCTAAATGCTTATAGTACAATAATCATATACCGTATTATAAAAACAGATGTATCATCTTTGTAAAATCACTCTAGAAAAAGTCCCAATAATAGATCTCTTGGAAAAAGAAAAAAAAGAAGAAAAACACACGTTTAAACTGAAAAGATACCTGCATTAATGACAAAGGATTTACTTGCTGCATTTCTCTCACCATATGCGAGAAATGCCCAATGTGATGACCTGAAATTATGACCTGAAAACAATTGGTGCATGATATAAATTTGGGTAAAATACAAATTTCATCACTCAATTTTACTCTCACTCCTATTTTGATAACTAAAGTTAAAAAAATTAAAGTTAATCACTCAACTTTTGAATTGCTCTTATTTTGATCACTCCATTAAATTATAAAAAGCATGATGACATGGCTTATTTTATTAATATTTGTTATGATGTGGCTTATTTTATCAATATTTAATCCACATAGATTTAGAGTAAAAAATAAAATCCTTAAATCCTAATCTCCAAACCTCAAACCCTCACCAACCTCATCACCCTGACCCTCATGAGGGAACACATTGATCGACAGAGACCCACCAAGGCCATTGTTCCCAAAAATTATTCTCTGCAATTCCTTAGCCCTTTAAGATCTGGTGGCACTGCCCTTGACAAACCATTGCCGTAAATCCCACCCACTATTCCTCATCCAATACTCCTACCCCTTGAGTCAATCCTTCAGCCGGTCCTGCATTTCCTCATCGTTGTAACCCGACCCAGAACCGGAAAGGCGACCCGTGTTAACAATCAAGCTCAAGGGAGGAATGACAAGAACTTAGAAAAGGTTGGCTTCCTTCGAGTCGATGACTATAATGACAGGGGATCCAAGGCCATTGGATTGGGGTCAGGGTGGTGACGTCAGGGACGGGGCTCCACCATGTGCGAGGGAGTACTGTTGGATGATGCCGTAGGTAGACTTGTGAGAGAGATCGTACATAAAAACCATGACTTGTTGGGGGAAATTAGTGGGGTTTTCATGGGAAGAAATACGATCAAGGTCAAGAAAGGAAGAGGAAGAGTCTGAGGGAGGGCGGAAGAAAATGGAGAAGAAGGCGTAGACGGCGAGGAGAAAGAGGACGGTGGCGATAAAGGTATGTTCGAAAAGGGAAGATTTTTGCAGCACATTGGAAAACAAAGGAAGGGTGGACGAAGAAGGAGAACGTGAAGCTAAAGAGGATCCCTTTGCTGCTATTGCCTTTTCGTGTTTTCAATGGTGGCCTATCGCTGAGTGGTGGCCAGAATGTAGATCAGTTGAAGCGGTGAAAGAGAGAAAGAGGAAGAAAAAGAAGAAACGAGGAAATGAAGGAAAAAAAATAAGTTTTTATAGGGATCCAACGTCTTTGTTTTGGTGTCAATTTGATTGTTCCAAAATGGCGTTGTTTTAGTGTCTTCTACCATGTCATAACGTCGTTAACGGTGGAGTGACCAAAACAAGAGTAATTTAAAAGTTGAGTGATTAAAACAAAAATTTTAAAATTTTACTGTCCAAAATAGGAGTGAGTGTAAAGTTGAGTGATGAAATTTATAATTTACCCTACAAATTTTTACCAGTCAAAACAGCACAGCCAGCAGCTGCTGCTTCTGATATGTTATGGCCAGCTAACCCAGGGAAGAAAGAACCTCCAATTACAGCTATTGGGGTCAACTTATACAAATGCCTCAATTCACCTGCAATAGAGAATAACGTTATGAATCAAATTTTACAATGAAAATACAATTTCGTCAAAAGACTAACATAAAGAAAATTCAGGAGAAGTAAAAAAGAATAAGATACTAAATACCAAGTGTATCCACCAAATATATGCTTGATCCTGGAATAAGTTCTTTATGTTGAGACCTCAAAGCAACATTCAGCTCTCCTTTCAGCAATACCTGCATTATAAAAGATTTTCTAACAATTCAAAGAAAATGTAAAGCCAGTATTATATACTAATGATGTCATGCAACAAAACATTCTTTCTCAATCAAGGGGGAGCTAATTCCTATCCAATCAAATAATGACTTCATGAATAATGATTTATATGGCATTTATATCGTACAAGGAATTTGATTTTCATAACATCTACTGAAAAGGGATGATATAGAACAGTAGAAGCATGTTGACGATGATAAAGTTCATTATCATATGAGGATAACTATGATGCAGAGGAATTAAGCTGTTTGTATTGTCAATAAATTAACATCAACGGTCATAAACTTCACAGTATAGTATTTATAGGAAAATAATTCTCCTAGGATGTTGTAAACAGCAGTTTTCACCAGAAAAAAGGTGATTTTAGTTGGCATATGAGAGGGAGGGGCATGAAAGTAAAGAAACCAAAATTCCAAGCATGCAGTAGACCAACTAGAAAAATAGTTATAGTGTTGAAAGTATTAAAATGGTTTTCAAGTTTGGTAACCAACTTTGAAAATGGTTTTCAAAGTTTGGTAAATGTTTCTTTGAAAAATAGTTTTTCAAAGTTTGGTAGATGTTTGTTGAAAAATGATAATGGGATAATCACAATTAATCTCTAGGTTTTAGGGTATTTACAAGATTAAGTCCTTAAGTTTCAACTATAAATACCCTAGCTCATTTAGCTTCAAAACCATCCCAAAAATCATTTCTTTCTCCCAATACTAGAGAGTTTTCTTGTGAGTAGTGAGTGTTTTGTAAACACCTGTAAATTTTCTCTCTTAGTAAAAGATCTGCAGCAGTCCGGAGACGTAAGCACAATTGGCTGAACTCTGTTATCAATTTCGGGTATTATTTTTCCGCTTTTATTTCGTATTCTCACTAATATGACTATAGGAAATTACTTGTTACTTGGTTTATTTCCCAACAACTGGTATCAGAGTTTTTGGTTGTGAATTCTGTCAATTTTTTGCGAGGTTACTATTCAGGTTACTATTCACGTGAATAGTAAATTTCGTGAATAGTGAAATACGGTCGGCGATACGCGTTTGTCGACGGAGGTGTTCTAATACACGGCGGTTCGCAGAAATTGTCAGAAACGATCCAAATGAAGCCAGATTCGAGTGGGAGCGATGGCTGCAGACGAAGGGAATGTGAAAATTGAAAAGTTCGATGGTGCGGACTTTGGATTTTGGAAGATGCAAATTGAAGATTTTCTATACCAGAAAAATCTATATCAACCCCTCTCAGGAAAACAACCAGGGGGCATGAAGAATGAAGACTGGGTTCTTCTCGACAGACAAGCCCTCGGAGTTATCCGACTGACGTTATCCCGCAATGTTGCCTTCAACATAACAAAGGAAAAGACCTTTGGCAGGTCTTATGAAGGCTCTCTCCAGTATGTATGAGAAGCCATCGGCCTCAAACAAAGTTCATTTGATGAGGCGATTATTTAATTTGCGGATAACGGAAGGGGCATCGGTGGCACAACACCTAAATGAACTAAACACAATCACAACCCAGTTGAGTTCAGTGGAAATTGAATTTGATGATGAAGTTCGAGCTTTAATTCTCTTATCATCTTTACCAGACAGTTGGAATGCTACTGTTACAGAAGTCAGCAGTTCGTCGGGAAACAGCAAATTAAAATTCGACGATGTTCGGGATCTGGTACTGAGCGAAGAAATTCGACGGAGAGAATCAGGTGAAGCATCAACCTCCTCAGCCTTGCACACGGAGTCCAGAGGGAGAACTTCAGAAAGAAATTCAAATCGTGGCAGATCGAAATCCAGAAGGAGAAAATCAAGAACAGGAAATAAAGATTTTATCTGTTATAATTGCGGCAAGAAGGGCCACTTCAAAAGAGATTGTCGAGCACCGAAGAAAAATACCGGCGCACAGGAATCTGCCAACATGACGGAGGAGACAGGTGATGCCATGATTTTAAGCGTCAACAGTCCGATTGAATCATGGATTTTGGATTCAGGGGCATCTTTCCACTCCACGCCATGCCAAGAAATCATGGAGAACTATGTCAGTGGTGATTTTGGGAAGGTTCATCTTGTTGATGATGAAACCTTGAAGATCGTCGGAAAAGGAGACATCCGACTAAAGCTGCCAAACCAGACCACCTAGAAGCTAACAGGAGTGAGACATATTCCTGGTCTCAAAAGAAATTTGATTTCTGTATGACAACTTGATGGAGAAGGATACAGTACAACCTTTTCAGGTTGTGAATGGAAGATTACCAAAGGAGCACTCGTCATTGCTCGTGGTAAGAAGACTGGTACTCTCTATGTAACTTCAAATTTAGAGAATATCATTGAAGTAGCAGATGCTGATGGAAAATCAAACCTATGGCACCAAAGGCTTGGCCATATGAGCGAGAAAGGGATGAAGACACTTTTGTCAAAGGGGAAGCTGTCGGATCTAAAGAATGTAGATGTCGGACTATGCGAGAATTGCATCTTTGGCAAACAAAAGAAAGTAAGCTTTGCAAAGATTGGTAAGACACCCAAGGCTGAAAAATTAGAGTTGGTTCATACTGATGTATGGGGACCATCTCCAGTTCCATCTCTTGCAGGCTCATTATATTATGTCACCTTCATCGATGATTCTACAAGGAAGGTGTGGGTTTATTTTCTGAAGAAAAAATCAGAAGTCTTTGATACCTTCAGAAAATGGAAGCCATGGTGGAAAATGAGAATGGTATGAAAGTCAAGCGGTTGAGGTCTGACAATGGAGGAGAGTACAGAAATAGGAGATTCAGAGATTTTTGCGCAAACAATGGGATCAAGATGGAGACAACAGTTCCCATGACACCGCAGCAGAATGGCGTAGCAGAGCGCATGAACAGAACTCTGAATGAACGTGCCAGAAGCATGAGGATACATGCCGGATTGCCCAAATTTCTATGGGCTGAAGCTATCAACACTGCAGCTTACCTGATCAACCGTGGGCCCTCAGTTCCTTTGGATGGCAGAATACCAGAGGAAGTTTGGAGCAAGAAAGAAATAAACCTTTCACACTTAAGAGTGTTTGGTTGTATTTCTTATGTACACATAGACTCTGCTGAAAGAAGTAAACTTGATGCTAAGTCCAAAAAATATGTCTTTGTTGGTTACGGCGATGATGAGTTCGGTTACCGGTTTTGGGATTATGAAAATCGGAAGATCATTAGAAGCAGAGATGTCATTTTCAATGAGAATGTGATGTACAAAGACAGGTCAACTGTAGAATCAAGCAGCTCCAATACCAAAGCTGAAACAAAGGAATTTGCTGAGTTTGAGGAGATTTCTGGAAATGATGTTCAGATCAGTCCTGAAGCAGTTCAAGAAGAACCAGGCACACCGGAACTAAGACGCTCCTCCAGAATTCCTAAACCAACCCAACGATATTCTCCTTCTTTGCACTACTTGTTGTTGACTGACAATGGTGAACCAGAGTGCTATGATGAAGCAATGCAAGTGGAGGATTCAGTCAAATGGGAGTCTTCCATGAAAGATTAGATGGACTCGCTTTTGTCAAATCAGACGTGGGAATTAGCTGAATTACCACCAGGCAAGAAAGCGCTTCACAACAAGTGGATTTACAGGATCAAAGAAGATCACGATGGGAGCAAACGCTACAAAACGATATTGGTTGTCAAAGGTTTTCAGCAAAAAGAAGGTATTGACTACAATGAAATTTTCTCTCCAGTCGTGAAACTGTCTACAATCAGACTGGTGTTGAAAATTGTAGCTGCAGAGAATTTACATCTTGAGCAGTTAGATGTAAAGACAGCTTTCCTTCATGGTGATTTGGAGGAAGAAATCTATATGAGGCAGCCAGAAGGCTTCATAGAGGCAGACAAGAAAAATCTGATATGCAGGTTGAAGAAGAGCTTGTATGGTTTAAAACAAGCTCCTAGACAGTGGTACAAGAAGTTCGATAGTTTCATGAGTAGCAGTGGTTTTACCAGATGCCAAGCAGATCATTGTTGTTACATCAAGAGGTTCGACAATAGCTTCATTATTTTATTATTGTACGTTGATGACATGCTCGTTGCAGGCTCAGACATGCAAGAGATTATAAACTTAAAGCAAAAATTGTCAAAGCAGTTTGCTATGAAAGATCTGGGCGCTGCAAAGCAGATTCTTGGGATGAGGATCAAGAGAGACACAAAGTCAGAGACTTTGATATTATCACAGGCTGAGTACATCAATAAAGTACTCTCCAGGTTCAACATGCAAGATGCTAAACCAGTAAGTACACCTTTAGGTGTTCATTTCAGACTCTCCAAAGAACAGTCACCAAAGACGGAGGAAGAACGTGCACACATGGTGAAGGTGCCGTACGCCTCAGCGATTGGAAGTCTGATGTATGCCATGGTTTGTACCAGACCAGATATTGCTCAAGCAGTGGGAGTTGTTAGCAGGTACATGAATAATCCGGGTAAGGTACACTGGGAAGCAGTCAAATGGATCCTAAGATATCTGCGGGGTACCACAAACAAAACACTTTGTTTCAAAGGTAGAGATACGATACTGACAGGCTATGTAGATGCCGACTTAGCCGGAAATATTGACATCAGAAGGAGCACTACAGGGTATGTCTATACTCTAGGTGGAACCGATGTGAGTTGGGTTTCTCAACTACAGAAGATAGTTGCTCTCTCCACAACTGAAGCAGAATATGTCGCTGTTACGGAAGCTAGCAAGGAGATGGTTTGGCTCCAAAGTTTCTTGGAAGAGTTAGGCAAGAAACAAGAAAGCAATGTCTTGTATTGCGACAGTCAAAGTGATATACATCTAGCAAAGAATCCGTCTTTTCATTCCAGGACAAAGCACATACAATTGCGATATCATTTTATCCGGTCTCTTCTGGAAGATGAGATTTTGAAACTTGAAAAGATCAGTGGAGCTCAAAATCCGGCAGATATGTTGACAAAGACGGTGACTACAGAAAAACTGAAGTTGTGTTCAACTTCAGTTGGCATGCT